AAACAAGATGTGGCTTAGTCAGTTTGAGAGATGTTTGAAAAACTTCCTTTCTGAGAATTCACATCATTCTTCTACTGATTCCTGCTTCCCACAATCCAGCTAGGAATTCAGGTTATAACCTGAGGCTTTCATAACTTTTTTTTATAGAATGAAGAATTGATTCATTACTTCTACCAGCTATTATTACAAACAGATGCTACTATAAAATACCTATAAGGTTCTACCCGTCCTGCACTATGTACATTCAGTAGCTAGTGATAAATCCTGCACTGTAAAGTACTCCATAAAAAAATGTCTGATCATTATTTGGCTTAAGAAGAATGTAACAAACTTCCTTCTCCTAATAAAGTAGAACACATGCAACTTAATTTCCAAATTATGACTCCAAATCTTGGCATATGCCTGAAAGCTGTTAACAGTTGTATCTGACAACACTATATATTTTAAAACCTGTCTATAAATACATAATATAAAATTGTATATGACTGTATACAACACGATCTGAGATTTTGTATAATACTCGTTCATTCTCTGCTCAATCAACTTGAATAATGAACTGATGTGGAAATTAAAAAACTCAGTGTGAGTTTCTGCTATCTTCAGTTGAATTTTTATATATTATTCCCTAAGATACACTTCAGACAAAAAAAAAAAAGTTTAAAGTCTTTGTTGCACTTAAAACAACATTCCCAAGAGCAGTTTTAAATTTGAACACCAAAAGGGTATTTTTTCTAGGTGTTTTTATCAAGAATTCTCCCAGTTATGACCACCGAGAAACAGGAACACAAACATGAGGCAGGTTCTGAGGAGCTGTCAACATTTTAAGTGATAGAAGTAACACATCAGCAGTTACCCAAACCCAAAAAGATTTCAAAAGACCATCCATTTTTAGCTGAACCAATTGCTGCAAGGATCTTTGACAAAAACAAGGCATATTGTAACTACAGCAGTAGCTTTGCTGCAGTGCTGACAGTGTACACATCACTATGTAATGCCTAAAAACACAGTGGAAAAACTAACTGTGGATCTCAGGGTCAACTCTTCTACACACTGTTCAAAACAGAAGGTAAGAATATTTACTTTGGGGAAGTCCCATTCACTGAGGAATAGAGAAGGGAAACTACTGGTCAAAATTCATGATAAGTGTTATCACCTTAAAGGAAGCTGGAACTTGGTACTGTGTTTCAAGAAAGCTCTTGAATGTCACGCACAGGTTTGGCCCCTGCATTTGGGAGTGCCATAAGATCTTATGGAATTTGGGTCTCACTCTACTTAATGCTCTAAGCCTACTTCAGGCATGCTCACAGCACAAAGCTAAACACGCATATATTTGTTTTGTGAGACCAAGGCCCCTAATTCCTGAGTGAACTGAACTCTCTCTGAGATGAGGCATAAAATCACAGAGCAGTATTTACTCCAATATATGTTGTTCATAAAAGTGCACTAGCCTGAGGTCAGACAGGAACACGAGACCTTCACAGTCAGGAAAGGTTTTTATTACTACAGTTCCTGTTAAAGGAACATAGACAATAAGTGAACATACTTTCCAATACACTGACATAATTTTTATATTTTCATTCAAATGGCATATTAACAAGCATAGTATGAATTTAAGTATGTTACATGAGAGGGTTAGTATTTATACATTACTTCAGCATGCAAAACAGCTCAGTAAAAGTGACAATAGAGTGTAATTTACTAATGGCAAATTAATGACAGTAATTTAACAAATGCAACACCCACGTGTTACTGACTGATGAAGCCAAGCATCTCCATACATAGCTGGAGATTCAGTTCAACTTACAGAAGTTATTCTTGTTCTTCTTTATTTTAATTCTCACAGAATTGCTACGCAAATCCTCAAAATTAATTTTGGCGGTTTTCAGAATAAAAAGAATCAATTCAGCTAATTTGCAAGTTACAAAACAAGGGAGTGGACTTCAGGTATGCTTATGATACACAAGATAAATGCCAGACACCACACCTAGACAAGCTTGAGCTAGTTACCATTAGGACAAAAACAATGCTTCAAGTTCTTTTTCACCATGCTGATGCTACTAATGTATGATCTCCAGTGGGGCTACTTGCTCCAAGCATCCAGTTCTTACAAGGAATCAAGAAAGCACAAAGCATGCAACTAAATAAGGATGGTAACACTGAGTGTGATGTGGAGTAATGCATCACTGATATCACAAAATATTTAAACTGAAAAAATGAATAATGTTTTCAGTGAGTCCTTCTTCATAGATGTTGCAGTGTTATATGATTCAACAGTTATTCATCCCAATAAGATATACCAAAATTTTTAATGAAGTAGATTTGTGACCATCTTGTGACCACATAAGGGCAGTGTATCTTGAAACTTGCTATTCATGCTCTTCACATATGGCAGTCCTTATTTATTAGTGAATAGATAAAGAGAATGTACACCCCTCCTGGCACTTTTCCTGCACTGGTAGAAGCAACAAGCTTTGCATCATTTCAGCCTCTATACTCTTTAATATACCAATTTCAGAGATTTGCAAAGGACAAAATACACTGTAGTACAGTAATTAAAAAATATCATTGGCCATAGAAAATTCAGAGTTACTTTGAGGAGGCCTTCCTGCATCTGAATAAAACTCTCCAGGTTATTGATCCTCATCACATTTACATTTAATCCACTCCCTCCTGGCAGCAAGTCAGGTTGCAATATAATGTTTAAGCCAGGAGAGAAAAAAGTTCCACCTTTGAGCAACAATTGGCTACACATCCCAATAATTCCCTTTTGCTTAGCCCGAGCTGCACAATGCTCCATGATAGGGCAGCCTTTCATCACCAAGAGAAACGCATGCACCTTATTCCTCCTCAAGCTACCTTGACGGTGTAATGAGCATCCTTGCAACAAAGCACTGCTACTGAGCAGCTTAGTACTATGGTAATAGTTACGTGTACTTTCTAAAGAGAAAATATTATTATAATAGGGTTTGACAGCTTTCTGTTAAGGTTTGACCACTGGGATGAGGCAGTTTTAGAAATAACACCTATGTGTCTCGAAATCAACACGCCGATAAGAGGCGGCAGGCCACGTGACTCAAACCTCACATACCCTGCGAGGGTCGGACCCTAGATAGCTCTGCTTTGCCTAAAAACTGGTTGAATTACAAAAAAACCAAGAAAACCAACCTGCTACAAATAGTATTCACAAACGGATCAACAAGAACACAGAAACACAGAAATTTTACATTAGCTTCTTTCCCTTCCCCCTCAAAAAAGCATTTGGGGAAGTCGGTTAGTATCTAGAGAGGTTAAAATAGATGTCTGCATATATGAATTATCGATTAAATGCATCCATTAGAAAAATCAACTTGCATATTAACGTGACCTATATAAGCAACGACCTTCAGAATAAGCAGTACTGAAAGGAGTCATCAACTTTGAAAGCAGTTGGCAACTAACAAGAAGATTTTTAACTTCAAGGTTAAGAACACGGGCAGCAAAATGCTCGTCCTATACAGCCCAATTCATCTCGGTATCGCAGGAGAGACAAAAAACTACTACTTGCTCCACGTTTAATATGGCTCTTAAAGGGCCTCAGCTTCTCGGTTATTTCAGAGTTTAGCCGAATGTTTCTCATGCCTCGAGAGCACATGTGCCCATCCTCAAGGCTACAGGGTGCCGGTTCTGCAAGCCTGTACTCCAGTGGCACGGGCAGCTATCTGGCTCTACTCATCTCTTGCGGGGGGAATAAACAAGGAAACTTATTTTAACTTCGGTTTTTCTTTATCGACTTTCTGAACAGGGAACACGAGAACTTAGAGGAACAAGCATCAGCCACACGTTAATCAGTACCTAAAGAGGAGTTTGGTCCGATTTTAGAATAAACGGCGGAGACACATGATCCAATTAAATTCCAATTATGTAAGTAGTAGGAAAGAGTATTTACACAGGCACTGATTACAGCTATTAGAGTCTAAAGTCGCCGGCCGGAGACGCCCCGCTTCCTCCCCGCCGCCGGGCTCATTTCATTTTTAACCTCCCCCTCCACAGCCCTCCCTACAGACAATAGGAGACGCCGGCCCGAGAGCCCCGTCTCCAAACCCATGCCCCCTCCGGCGGACGCCAGCCTGGAGGAGCCGCCGCTCTCCCCGGAGTGATGTCCCCGAGTCCCACCTCGGGGCCGGGAGAAAGAGCCCCGCTCCCACTCACATCCCACCGCCCGTGCCCCCAGCCCCGCAGCGGCGGGAGAGGCAGCGAAACCCCCCCCTTACCTCCGAACAGGTGCGGCGAGAGGTGCGCGGGCAGCGAGCCGATCACCAGCCGGGGCCCGCCGGAGGAGCTGCCGGAGGAGCCGCCGCCGCCACCGCCGCCGCCCCCCGCGGGCCGCTCCCGGCCGCCCTCCTCCGGGGTGCTGCTGACCGAGTCCTGCGAGCCGTAGGGGCCGACGCTGTGGAGGATGTTGAGGGCGGACTGCGCCGCCCGGGCGCCGGAGGCGGTGGCCCCCCCCAGGGACCTGCTCCGGGGTGCCGACCCCGCGGCACTCCCGGCCGCCGCCGCCGCTCCTCCGGCCGCCGCCGCGCCGCCGGGAGTGGCGTGAGGCGCCGCCGCCAGGTGCGCGTACCGCCCGCCGGCGCCCGTCGAGCGCCCGCCGGTCCCGTTAGCGCCGCCGCCGCCGCTGCTGCTGCTACTGGAGGAAGGCAGATCCCCGCCCGAGTACGCCCGGGTGCGGCCATTGGCGGCGGTGGGGCTGCTCTGCTTCGCGCCCATGGTCCCGCCGCCGCCTGGCGCTGCCCGGTGCCCTTCGCCGCCGCCTTCCCCGCGGCGCCCGGGGGTGGTGGCAGTCTTGCCCCGGCGAGGGTGATCCGAGGCGCGGGTCGCGCCGGGGAGGGGGGAGAGGGTGCGCCGGGGGAGGGGGACGGGTCGCTCGGTGGGTCGGTGTGGAGAAGGGAGAGCCGCCCGCCGGGATCCGACTCAGCTGGCGGCACCGGCGCGGCCGCTGCTGGCGGGTCTGGGGCGCCACCATGAGCTGCTCGGGACGGTGCTGGCTCCCGCCGCGCGGCCGCTCGGTCCCGCCGTCGCTGCTGCTGCTGTGCTGTGTCCGCCGCCGCCGCGACCGCCGCCGCCATCCTCCTGCGCCGCCGCTGAGCCCTGTGCGGGGCACGGGCGGCAGCAGCGCCGCCGAGGCCGCTCGCTCGCCCGCGGCGCGCCGTGCCCGTGCGAGGGAGGCGGGAGGGGGCGGTCGCCCGGCGCAGCCGCTCCTCTACCGTGTCGCCATGCTGGGGGCGGCACCAGCGGGCGGGGTGCGGAGCGGTTACGGCGGGCGGGGGCCGCCGCCTCTCCTTCCCTCCCCGCGCCCGGCGGGAGACCGGACCCCGGCGGCGGCGCAACGGGCCAGGCCCGCCGCCTCGCCCCGCCTCCCTCCCCTCTCCTCCCGCAAGGTGCGGGGCAGCGCCAGGTGAGGCCCCGCCTGGGCTCTGGCCATGTTCCCCACGGTGGGGAAGGAGAGTCCCCTCGGTGGGAACCTGCCGGGGACACAGATACACACACACACGAGGGAGACTCCCTGTCCGCCTGCCCGTAGGGGCTGCCCCGCCGGGAAAGAAGTGAATGGGCAAGAGCGCGGCGCTCGGGGGCGGGAGGCGGCCCCTGGGTCCGCTCTCCCCTGGAGCCCCGGCAGGTGAAGGAGGAGCCGGGCGGTGCAGCGGGAGGCGGCTCGGCGGGGCGGGCAAGGTCGGGGCGGCGGGTGCCCTCCTGCCGCCCGGTTCTCTGCCTTTGCGGCTCCAGCAGACGCCCGGATGCCCGACCTCGGCGGCCGGGGCGGCTCCCCGAGCTGGCGGGTCGGGCGGTCTGAGGTCCGCTTGGCCCCGTCGGGAGCTCTCCCCGGTGGCTTCCTGCCTGGGCGGCTTGCTGCCAGTCTCGGTTCTCCGGGAATGAGGACATACCAGGAGACATATGGGACGTATGGGGTAGCTGGACAAGAAGGATGAAGATCTCATGTCTGGTTCACAGGCGATACAGGAAAATCCCGTAGACCTCAGCCTCTCGCTCAGAGAACTACTGTTTTTGCACAAAGATTGAATAAGCTGAAAATTTTGGCCCAGTGAATAATACCCATGTGGATAACAGGCTTGGTTTGCTCCTGACAAAATGATCAGAGACATAAAATTATTTTGTTCTTTAAAGATATGTGATGTTGAATGTCATGTACATTGAATTTATAGGCATATGATTCCTACAATCGGTCATCCAAGGAAAACTGTTTTTATGGATTATCGTCTGTTCTAAAATAAGGTATGTCACCATGAAGCACTGCTATACACCAACTCAGGTCTTTCCTTCATACTGTCTTGGTAGGGACCCCAACTACATTCCTGCCTGTGTCAGAATGGCATAGTACCCAAGCTATTTTACAATTAATACAATAAAACTGATCAAAACTTTAATTAATGCACAAAGTATTACCTAACATTTTACATGTTACATGTTATTATTATATGTATTTTATATATATAATGTACAAATCTAACATTTACATGTACATGTTCCATTTACATGGAACATTACATGTACACATGGTATATTTGATGGTCCTCCTCAGATGTGAATAGGCACAAAGGCCTCCCTTTCCCCCTCCTTTCACCCTCTCTGTTACAACTGTGTGTGGTTGTGTTCTGGCATCAATGCAGCTCACAGCTGAATTTGCAAGAAGAGGTACCATAGTTGGGGGTGGCACAGGAGGTTTTTAGCCCCAACTCTTCATTCCAACACCACTTTTCTGGATAGCTGAGACACTGTGAATAATCTGAACCCCATTTAGAGGATACTGCTGTAAACTATTGCCCGTTTCAGTAAGAGGCAGTGATTCCACAGCTGTCTCATGAACAGCTTGGTCCTTTGTGTGCTGGGTGCTGGGCAGACAGCTGGGGTCGATAATCTGCCGTCCCAAGCTATGTCATCCCCACTTGTGAATTATAAGCTGCAGTCTCTGCTAGCAGTGGTAGATACTCCAAAATAGATCAATCATGAGCACTTTCTAGCTAAGTTTCCTACCAAAAAAAAAAAAAAATCAGTGTGAATACGCTGTCTGCTCTACCACTGATTACTTTTTAAATCCTTGTCCAGCTTCAGCCAAATCTCTCAGAGCCATTGACAGTATAGAAAATAAATGGTTATGCAGAAGATAGAAATCCTAATGTTCCCACAGAAAGGAAAGCTACCATAGGAATTCCTATCTTGCTGGATTCCAAGAATCTGCTCAGGCAAGGGATGTTGCAAACATGACTCATAATTTCTGCTGCTCACAGAATGCCTGTGGCATGTTGAGCCCCATTGAAGCAGCTTTAGAGGGAGCATGCTCAGAGTTTTATGGAGTTTTTAAAATTTCCACTACTGAGTGCTAGTGGAGCTGGTCAGCTGCTAGAATAAACAGCATTTTGAAAGTAGTACATTGCTACACAGTACCACAGTATACTTTCTGGGTTTTTTTTCTACAGTGGATCTAAGAGTTGAACAGATATTAAATACAGATTATATTTGACTGTGAATAACCTTTTATTCAATTTAGGATTAAATTATACAATCGATGGGGGGAAAAAAGCCCTTAAGACATCCAACCAGTTACTGTCTAACCATCAGAAAATTACCTCTAAAAGCATAGGATATGTCACAGAAAAGAAGTCACAACAGTCCAGCCTGTGTTCCCTTCTCAGAGAGCATGACTGTTTCCTGTGCAATGTAATTTTCTTTATTTATTTTTTTTTAAGGCTTCAGGTTTTGTTTTGTATCTAGGACATATTTGCAGCGCACTATCAAGTGTGAGTCTAAACAAGACACATACCTCAAAGAACACCTAGATCTTCAGAAAAGCAACGTGTCATGCTCTGAGACAGCTTTCTCCCCTCTATTCTTCCTGTATCTCTTAAAAATAGTTGAGTAGAGATTTTCTACATATCAAAATTTGCTTCATATCAGCGACAGTACAGTTAGGTTTTCAAGCTAACATTCCTTCTAACAAATGTCTACTAGTCTTTTAGTCTTGTAGAGGCAAGTACCTGGCACTGTAACCTCCACCCATTTGTTCATTAACACACTCCAGAAGTAGTTTGCATAAAAAATTCTTAAGTTAAAAAAAAAGTAAGTAGTGATAAGAAGAAACAGTACAGAGAGAAAGTAGAATGTCTTGCTCCTGACCATATTTCCACAGATTTCAAGGACTCAGTGGAAAGCAGATAATTATATAAAAATTGACTTTGATAGGCCTATATGGGTTGAATGCTGCTATTATTCCTGTGGAAACATATCTAGGGAATCTTATTCATACTTAAATAAGCACTACTTGTTCCTTGTCCAGGATAGTGGGAAAAAACTGGTTTAGACAGGCAAATATACTTGCTGTTCTTTGTTACAAGCTGCATACTTCCACTTCAGTTCTGGTTACACCACCTTGTCTATCAGCAACTGAAAATAATGAACTTGTTTCTTGACCAGTTTCCTTGAATATACCAAGTGGCAGGTGTACCCTAGGCATACAAAATTAGCTGTAAGTTCATAATATTGCACATTTTGGAAAATGTGAGCTGATAAATGGAGCAGGGGTCTGCATTTTACTCAACAGTGAGCTATGCAGACAGATCAGCCCTCCTCTCCCTCCCTACCCCCTTCTTTGGTGGCTTTTAAAGGCACACTGAAACAAGGATTTAAGCAAGGTTTCATTTCTGACAGAAGCATCTGACCCTGAACTAATAAAGCCAGCCAGAGTTTCATTCTGTTCAGAACTGATCAGACATTCTTTTCTAAAGGAGAAAGATTTAAAAAGTAGCAGCACAGACTCTTAACATACAGCTTAATTTTTTTAACAGCTAGTGTGGGCTCCTAAAAGGGTTTGACCAACTAGATTTTCTGAGCAGATACCAAACTAGAAGTTCACAATGTGATTGGAAGAGATCAATGCAGGTTTTATATTACTGTGTATTTCATCTGTTTGAAATAAATAGTGCTGCACACCGCTTCTGCACAGATACTGAAAATAGAGACTTCTGATGTGTTCTGTTGCTCATAGAGAAAACAAAACAGAACATTTTGTCCCTCTGAAATAAGATGTGTAAAATACACATGCCTTCCATCTGTAGCTAGAGTAAGCCATCCAGCAGGCGAGAGTTTTATACGTTCACATCTGTATCCTAAGGGAAATAGGTCCCATATTATCCCCCTTGGTGTGACTACAAACTATACATAAACTTATTGTAGGAATCTCCTTAGATATATTTTGGTGTCAGTGAATCTCCATCTGGTGACTGGTATTTCAATGCAGAAGACCCTATTATCCAGTATGTTAGATTTTTATTTCCATTGAATAACTTTTTGTATGTATTGACTTTAATCCTATGGAGATTTATGCATATGCTGATGTATGAAAAACCGTTCTGCAACATGTTGTGATCAGTCTTCATGAAATAAAAAAAATAAGCAGCTTTCAAGCTCAAGGTTAGAATCATAAAATTATTCTGGAAGTGTGTGGTGATGCTTACAAGGATAAGAAAGTTTATCCTTCCTGTATAAAAATTCTGTTTAAAGCCATCTACCTTTTGTTTGAAGTTTATGCTTTTTTGAAGTTTCTATCACACTGCAGACAGTATCGTTGAATTTTTACACTAGAGTTGCCTGTAGAGAAAACTGATGTTCACAGAAAAGATAACCTAATCTTAAAAATAAGCTGACATTTTGACTGGCCTTATTGATTGACCATTTGGTACAGGAAGAAATACTTGGAAATAACATCCTTTAAGAAATGGCAGCTTCTGCTGTGCACTTCATTACTACATGCTACAAAGTAGTACTTTAAGAGATATACTTCATTCTAAGATTTTTCATAGGAAAGGACATTCACCATAGTAATTTCTAAGTTGTTCTATATTCACAGTTGTATTACTGTAACCACTGAGTACCTGTGTAGGTAACCAGATGCAATACCAAATGCTATTCATATGAACTTGCCATTTGAGTACATGACCAGGCCCATACTGTTACCAGTTCTCCCATAAACTCTATTAGTTTTACTCGTTGGTGGTTTTTTTTTGGTATCGGCTTTGCATCTGTTATCCCACTGTGTAGTTTCCTGACTTTTCATGCAGGTATAGCTATCTTTCTTTAGAAGCTTCTGTGCAGCTCATTTTTCTTATATGCTTGAGGAACAAGAGAAGACAAATAGCTGCTTAGACTATGCCCATTTCTACACTAAGGCATTTGCACCAATTCATAAATGAAGTGACATCAATGCATGTTTATCTGCGTAAGGCGTGGGATGCGAGTCCGGGGCAGATGAGCTGACATATAAAGGTCCCATCGAGCTAATTTTTCTGTTTCTGTGATTTCTAAGAAGAGGGCGTGGAGGACAAACTAACAGATGGAAAGTATGTTTACTCTCCCTTGTTTTCAGATCTTGTGTGTTGGTACCCAGCAA